CTTCTTCCCTGTTCTGGCAGACCTTCCTGCCAACCCCATGTCGGTCCAAATGAGTGCTTTCTGTGTTTGAATTAGCCTGGAGCCAGCGGTGCGAGCAGCTGGGCAGGGCCCCTGCTGCTCTCGGTGAAACAGCGTGACTGTGGTTGTAATCTTCTTCCTCGCTGTCCACTGGGTCCCTCCGGCCTAATGGGCCACCTGGCTCCCAGCCTTAGGGACGTTCTTCACAATTAGGCACAAACGCTGCAGAAAGGGGGCAGGGAGGGCTGTGGGACCTCCGCGCCAACTGAAGCGTGAGAGGACACTGACCCCGTGTGGCCACTTGTGGCGGTGCGGCAGCAGGAGCGGCATGTTGGCACCAATGTGGTCCCCTGGCCCTTTGACCTCAGCCAAAGGACCTCTTCAGGCTCTCCCTGACCAGCCCAGCTCTGTCCTACTCACATCACAGGACCCGTGGGGAGGGACCTGGTCCCCTCAGAATCTGCTGGATTCTCCTCTGGTGACCTGTCCCCCATCAGGGCCCTCAACTCCGTGCTGTTATTGGACCGTGGCTTCTGGACCATCTGAGCTCAGCATGGGCACGAGAGGTGCCATGGAGGGGATGGGCATGAGCTCAAAGGATAGGAAGGATTTTGAGGGGAGCCCAGTGCTGTTTCTCACTCATTTTCAGGCCCCCAGATCACAGAGCAGAGGGCACAGGGTCCCAAACATGGTGAGTGCTCACTTAGCAATGCAGAGTAAACAGACGCGTGCACACACCTGCATTCCAGGTGAGGGACAGGGGCTGAGCAGAGGCCTGCGGGCAGGTTTGGGAACATGCATGGGGGCAGCCAGGGGAGCTGCCTCTCGAGAAGGTTCCAGGTGGGGTGGAGCACTGAATTCTCTAGTCTCTGGGTCCCCAGCCCCAATCCGGTGCTCTTTCTCTGACCACAGAATTTTCTGGAAGGGAAGGGACCTGAATGCTGCAATCTGGGCTGGAGGAAGGAGTGGGCGCACAGCCAGGCAGTTGAAGCATTTGATTCATTTAGGCTCTATCTCTTCATCGCCACTGTGATCAAGGTCCCATGTAAAGCAAATGCTGTGCTTGGGACAGACGAGGACTGAGAGGCTCAGAAAAGCTGAACCGTTATGTGCCAAGTCAAAGCCACTCCGTTTGTAAGAAGCCAGGCTGGGGTTTGTACAGTAACAATAAAAATGCAACACAGGCAAGGCTGGGGAGCTCCAGAGTTCACACCCAGCCCCCTGCCCCTGTAGCTTTTCAGGGAACAAAAGCCCCTCTAGTATCTCCTCAGCGCTGTCTCCCCCACCTCAGTCCACAATCCATGCAGCTGAGTTATTGTCCAAAAGTCAAATCTGGTCCCATCACGCCCTGCTCAAAACTGCGACGGCTCTTCTCTGTGTGTGTAAGGAGGGGTGAAACCGGATCATTTGTCTTGGCTTTGCAGGCCTGCCTCACCTTGCCCCTTGCTCTGGCCACACCACTGCGTCCTTCTCTCTCTATCCCTCCCCCATTTCTTTTGCCTGCCTGCTAGCCCTTCTCCTCTGGCCTCAGTTTAGGTGCCACTGTCCCCAGGAAGCTTTCCTGCCCCCTTCGAGACTGTCTAGGGCAGTGGTCGGCAAACTGCGGCTCATGAGCCACATTCGGCTCTTTGGCCCCTTGAGTGTGGCTCTTCCTAAGCCTTAGGAGTACCCTAATTATGTTAATAACAATGTACCTACCTATATAGTTTAAAAAATCTGGCTCTGAAAAGAAATTTCAATCGTTGTACTGTTGATATTTGGCTCTGTTGACTAATGAGTTTGCCGACCACGGGCCTAGGGCCTGCCTCATCTGTTAGAGCTGCACAGAGAAATCAGAAATGGGCGAAACGATGATGCCTGGGACTGGTTGTCCAATACTCCACAGGAAAACAGGGGCAGGAGGCGGCCGAAATGAGAATGGCAGGATATTGGCATCAATCGTCGAAGCTGGGCGATGGATGCGGGAGGGTGTGTTGTAGTATCCTCTCAACATTTGTGTATGTTTGGAAGTTTCCAGAAGAAAAAATTAAAAAAATAACAAAGCCTGGTGGAGGAGCCTCCGCCCCACACCGCCTTAGTGCCTGTCCCTGTCTGTCCCAGCCCCACTCCATCGCTTACCTCTCTGCATTGTCAGCTGCAGGATTTAAGGCAGCGGTTCTCAACCTGTGGGTCGCGACCCCTTTGGCGGGCGAATGGCCCTTTCACAGGGGTCGGCTAAGACCATCCTGCATATCGGATATTCACATTACGATTCATAACAGTAGCAATATTACAGTTATGAAGTAGCAACAAAAATAATTTTATGGTTGGGTCACAACATGAGGAACTGTATTTAAAGGGCCAGAAGGTTGAGAACCACTGATTTAAGGCCTGAGATTGTACTGTGTTTTGCTCACTTCGGTACCCTGGCCTCTGGCAGAGTGGTTGGCACAGGGTAAATATCAACATATTTTTGTTGCATGACGGAATGAAAACCTTTCCAGGTGTGTTAGGGAGCAGGAAAGCAAACCACTGAAAATGTGTTGAAGCAGAACAATGCCTGTTGGCCTGCCTCACCCCCAGCCGCGCTGCGTCCCTCCCGGAATCCTCCAGGAAAGCCGCTGTGCCCGGGAAAGATTTAATGGCACTTGAGAAAATCGATTCAAATGGTGAAGGAGAAAGCAGGTTTAGACACTGGAACCTCTGCGGTGTATAAGGGAGGAGGGGAAGTGGGTGTGTGATTTAAAGCTGTTGGAACATAAATACTGTAGATTCATTCAGTCGGTCACCAAATATTAGTTCAGTGTGTGAGTGTCTGAAGTGTCTGCCATGTTGGAGATGCCATTTCTCCTATCTTGCATGAGCTTATATGAATGAAAATGTAAAAAAAAAAAAAAGTCAATTTTAAAGACCTTATTGGCTTTATTCAAGCAGCCATTCTAGCAGGTAGGTGCTCTGAGGAGCTGCACAAAGCAAAAGACGTCATAGGCAGAAGGGAGCAGGAACAAGGAATGTCGGCCAAAAAAGTGGGGTGGTTATTGCGAAACTACTTTCCTTTAGGGAACGGCAGGGGTCTGTCAGGCAGATGGCCTAGCTAGAGCTGACCAGGCGACTCCTGATTGGCTGGCTTACGGTCCCGTTTCTGGGAGAAATGAGTTGTGATTTACTTAAGTCTCAGTTTGGTGACACCGGGCTTAGCGTGAGCAGCTCCATTTTGGGTCTGTCTTCTTGTCTTTAACAGAAGTTTGTGTTTTTTGGCCAAATGAAAGAGGCCGAGCAGTTTTGTTTTGTTTTGAAGGGGGGAGGAGTGTTTTGGGGTTTTGTTTTGTGTGTGCTGAGGGTGGGGAGACCTAAAAGAAAAAGAGAGAGGATGGGACAGTGTGATCTCTGGCCCCCACTCAGATGGACGAAAGGAGTAAGTTAGGGCCGGAGGATAGAGAACTATCTTTGTAGGACCCTGAGCTTCAGCACAGCTGTTTCTCCATCTTCTGCCCCCTCTGCTCAGACCCAGCGCTGCGTTAATACTCTGAGGCCTGACGGTGGCCATTAGCAGCAGGGGCAGGAGAGAAACACAACAAGAAAGGCAACAGACTTCTTTGTCGGCACATCTTTGACCCAGAATGGCAAGACTTAGGTAGCTGTGATCTCACGTTCAAAGCTGACTGGCTTCCACCAAGCCAGTGGTTCTCAACCTTCTGGCCCTTTAAATACAGTTCCTCATGGTGTGACCCAACCATAAAATTATTTTCGTTGCTACTTCATAACTGTAATGTTGCTACTGTTAGGAATCGTCATGTAAATATCTGATATGCATGATGGTCTTAGGCGACCCCTGTGAAAGGGCCGTTCGCCCGCCAAAGGGGTCGCGACCCACAGGTTGAGAACCGCTGCCCTAAGTGTACAATTCTTGAGGATGGGCCCAATGCCTCCTCTTTTCTGTATGACAGTCCCTAGCACGGTGTCTCACTCAAAATAGGTGCTGAGTCAGTGTTCAAAAAATCAATGAACTAAATGAGTGTGCTTGGGATGGTGTTGATTTTTCACTCTGCCCCCAAGCTAGAATGATTAATCAAGCTCATTCATAGTCCATGTTGTTGTAAGTATTTGGTTACTGTGTGTATATAGCATTTAAGAACTCCCGTGTTCTCCCAAACGGTGGGGAAATTGAAGCTTCAGTCACGAGGGACATTTTCACCTGATTGTCTTCTGTGGGGTGTTAACCTCAGCTCCCACCTGGTGGCCTCCATGAGGTCCTCATTGCGAACGGGAGTTTGCGTTTTTCCATTCGCTGCTAGATCTAGAGAGACAGGCCCCCCATCTGTTCATGAAGGGGCAGTCTATTCTCACCCGGACCCTGTCTGGTTAGGGCCTGGTTTCAGGTGGTCTGGCGGACTTTAGAGAAGACGCAGAGCAGAGAGAGGCACCTGCTGTTGGGGCCGGGCTGTGTTTGCAGGGAGGGGAGACCCTGGGGCTGGGAGGAGTGGGCATCCGCTGTAAGCTTCACTTCGGAGACGTCACCTGTCGGGAACCTAAGAGGTGTGGGCATGAGGTTGGCCTCCCCAGCGACTCATCTCTCTTCCCAGCTCCGGCAAGAGGCCTCTGGTCCAAATTTGCTCCCACTCTTGTCTGGGTTTTTTCACTGCTCTTCCACCCCAGCACGATCCCTCCATGCCACATCCCCATCTGGGACTTGAACCGTCCGAGCAGTGACAGACTGGTGCCCTTTAAACAATGTTCATTCATTCAGCAAACCTTTATCCAGCCCCCAATACGTATCGAGCACTCCTCTCGGCTTTGGGGATATAGCAGGAGGCTAGATAGGCCAAACTCCTGACCACATACAGCTTTCAGTCTAATGTGCTGGGGCTGTCAGCTGGTCCACCCCTTGGAAAATTGTTTGGCGCTTTCTGCTAATGCTACACGTACCCAGTAATTCCCTTGGGTATATGTCCAACAGAAATGAGTGCTTGCATCCACCAAAAACATATAGACACAGACAAGAATTTCAGAGCAGCTTTATTCCTAATAGCCAAACACTGGATCCAACCCAAATGTCCATCACAGGAGAGTGAATACGTTATTTCCAGGCCTGTTCACACAAAGCAGCAGCACTCAGCAACACTAAAAAGACTGATGCTGCCGCACACATCAACCTGATGAGTGTCATTGTGTGACATGAAGAGAAGGCAGACACACGATGACATGATGAGTGATCCCATTTCAACCAGTTCTAGTACAGGCAACACTATCTGTAGTGATTCAAGTCGGGACGGCAAGTCCTTTGCGGGATTGTGGGGTAATTTCTGGGAGGAGGTTCATCCATCTGGAAGACAGGAAATTTCTTAAAAAGTAAAGCTTTCACTTACCCTGTCACCCAACAGGCCACTTTTAGGTAGTTAGCCTAGAGAAATGAAAACTTATCTCACACAAAAACTTGTATACAAATGTTTATGCCAGCCTTAGTCATAATGGCCCCAAACGGGAAACAACCCAAATGTCCTTAGATGGTGACTGGATAAGCTGTAAGATCTGTACAACGGAATAAACTCGGCAATGAAAAGGAGGGGATACTAATATACACACACACACATACACACACATACACACACATAAACACACATACACACACATACACACACGATGGACTTTCAAGTGCATTGTGCTGAGTGAAAACTCAATCTTGAAAGTTTACATACTACATGATTCCGTGGATATGACACTCTGGAAAAGACAAAAATATCGGAAGAGACAACAGATCAGTCATTGTCAGAGTTTAGGGAAGGGGGAAAGGTCGGAATACAAAAGGGGCAGCATGAGAGAAATCTTTTGGGGTAAAGGAGTTGTTCTGTATCCTGTCTAAGGCGGTGGCTACAAAAATCTGTATGTGTATAAAAACGCATACACTGAAACCAAAAAAAGAGTGGCTTTTATTGTGTGTAAATTTAAATTTTTTAATCAAAGAAAACCCCACACCAAAACTCTGCCTTCTCCTCGTGGACCCTGGTTTTCGCTCCTCTGAGCTCAAGTAGGACGATGGTAGAGGCCTTCAAGGAATAAGACAGGGCCTGGCTCAGCAGACACCAGGAGCTTCATTTCCTACCCCACTGTTCCCATGCCTTTGGAATTATCCTGTGAAACGCCATTGGCGCATTGCCCATCCCTGTGTGTTTGCTCTTTAATCCATACACATTACCACTCAGAAACGGCCAAGCCGCCCCACGACTCCCTAAGGGAGAATTTGCTCTGAGGTCATGGCCAACGTAGAGCCCCTTTGAGGGCACAGAGGAAAACGTATCACCAGTTACATCCAGGGCTCCTCTCAGGGAGTGAGCTGCAGTGGACACCAACCTTCCAGACCTCATGGACCACCAGTGGTTTAGGGAATTGCAGGGTTAGGGCCTTCACTCAGTTAGCCTTGGGCGTACAGAGCGCCCACCGTTCCCCACAAGGTCGTGTCCTGTCACTCCTCAGCGCATGTGCTTCTCTGAGCCCCTACTCCAATGCCATCTCCCCTGTGACGCCTTCCCTGATCCCCTATGCTCTCCTCCCGTCTCCCCAGGAATAATCATTGATTCAACAATGGGTGACTACACACTGACTCGCTGGGAACTGGGACCACGAATAGGATGGAAAAGGACCCTGACTGGGAGGAGCTTTTATCCTCCTGGGCGAGACTGATGATAAACACACAGGTGCACACCATCCTTGCAGAATATCTCAGGGGCAGGACGAGAGGGTGCAGGGATGGTCATGGGGGCTCCGGCGAGGAGATGCCACTGCAGCAGGGGCCTGGAGGGAGTCCTTCTCCCTCTGGGTTCCCTGGCACTTGGCCTCCTTCTAAGGAGGGCTGGCAGACATCGTCAATCAAAATATTGCGGGAGACACACACATACTAAAAACTTGCGCTTTGATTTTCTGAAATTCCGATGTCGCTGGCCATCCTGTATTTCATCAGGCAACTTCTACTCCTAGGGTCTCCCTGCGCTGTGAGTCCAGGGAACAAGGACTCTCACTCTCAGGGCCCAGGACTGTGGCTGGCTCACAGTAGGTGCTCAATAAACAATGACAGAATGATCCAGTAGGTGGATTAATAAGCAGCACTCATTACCTGTGTTGCAGTTTTTAAAATGTGTGTGCTGACTCCCCGGACACAGCAACCCTCTCCGCAGCAGGGACAGTATTGGATGCCACTCTTGGTGCCTCATGTAGGGCCTGGTGAGAGACAGCCCGGGGGGGTGGGGGGGCTTGGGGGGGTGCTTTAGCTTGCCTCCTACAACTCCCACCAGCACCTCCCCCACCTCGACATAACAAGAAAATAAGAAAAACATTTTTAAGGGTGGTGAGATATTTAATATGGAAAACTGGTATTTTCTCAATCTTAGGTACATGAATAAGAGCATCTCTGGAAATGTTTGCTTTATTCATAGGGTGCATGCTAAGAAGAAACTGCTGGGTCCATTTCCTTGGCTATCCTCCTCTAACCCAACGGGCTCCCCTGCGCGCCCCCCTTCTGTTTGAGCTGGCACAGATAGCCGGCGGGTGTGTGTGTGTTATATGAGCCGGAGGCATGGAAAAGGGTCTCACGGTTCGGGCGAGCGTGTCTGTCTCATCACGGGCCGGTGCCCTGTTCCCAGGCCTGGCACCTGGCAGCATCGGGGAAACGTGGGTCGAAAGCCTAGCTAGAGCCACACATCCAAGGACATACAGGCTTTCAGCCTCAGGGTGCGCCTCCAGAGGAAGGCCCTTCGGGAGCGGGCCCCTTACTGCCCTCTAGAGGTCAGCCCTGGGGCTCTCAAGCAGCGCCCAGAAAGGGTGTGACTAACAGCCCAGCAAGTTCTATGAATAAGCCCAGTCTTCACCCACACGCATGAAAGGGGCACTGTCCTGGGGCGCCGCAGCCCCTGTTGGTTTCAGCTCAGAAGGAGCATGTTGTTGCTTGCGGCTCTTTTGAGCTTCACAAAGGACAAGGAAAGGCACTGTACGGTGGGCTTTACTTCTGACTTCTTTTTTTTTTTTTTCTCATTCCTCCAAACCGTTGGATGTGGAAAACCTTGCACTGACTTGTGAATTGCCAGTCTGTGTTTGTGGATGGAGGCGGGTAAGGACTTGAAGGGTCCAAATTCTTTTCACTTCCCTTGGAAGTTTCTCCAGAACTTAGCTTTCCGTTGAGTAGCCTCTGTTGATTTCTGTGTCGCTAGGTCGTTATTGGGGGCGTGTTATAACCGGAGAGGCTGAAGGCTTCTCTCCCCGTCGCATGTGCTGAAGCCCGATGAGCCAGGATGGTGCAGGGCACCCACCAGAGGTGAGGGCCTGATTTCTCCGCGGAGGACGGTGCTGGGTGAGCACACTGGTTTAGCTGGGAGAGCGAGCACAGGAACATTGTGTGTCGTGGTATCAGAGACTAACTCAGAGGCATAAAATTACTTACCAGCACACTATTTAGTTGCACGCAAGTGAAACCAGTAATAGGTTTATTTTGTATATTGAAGGCAAAATTAGGAGTTAAATTCTTAAAATAGAGAAGAAGGGGGACAAGGAGAAACTGAAGACAAGTTGAAAATCATGAACTTCATCTTTTCTTGGGTAAGCTGCCGCTTAGCAGCCAGCTGAGAAGGCAGGCAGGGTGCTCTGCCCTTGGCAGCTGGATGGGGCATCAAAGAAGATAAATCCAGTGGCTCACGGATTCTCCAGAGCCTCTGAGTGTGTAGCTGTTCTGTGTACGTGGCAAGCTGCCTGTTACACGGGTCTGCCCCATGACCCTTATAAAAATTTCTCAGTGGCAAATGAATGCAAATAACCTAAATGTCCAACAAATGGAAACCTGCTGAATAAATTACGGTAGATCCTCAGCATAGAATACCAAAAAGCTTTTTAAACGTTACAGTAGTTTAAGGAACCATTGCAGTAAAAGAACAAGTAATAATATGGAGAGTTGCTCGAATAAACACGTGTGTGCTTTTTTTGGTTGCTCCCCACGCCTCACTAAAACAATACAAGAATTTTTCCCCTAAATAAAATCACTTCCTTATGAGAATCTTAGCAGTGATATTAAAAAATATAGACTCTCCACAAAGGATAACAAGTTAATTAAAATTTGCTTTAAAGCAAGACTAAAGAAACATAAACCCGAGCCTGTCACTAGGGCCTAAAGGGTATTTTTTAAAGGCAAACACCTGCAAAGACAGGAAGGAAGAACAAGGAGACAAAAATGACAAAATTTAGGATCACTGGCTGACTGGGACGCACACAGGAGAGTCCAAGGAGATTTCCAACGTGACGTGAAGGCAGACCAGGCATGATGGGCACAAAAGTCGGGAAGCTCCAAGGAAGGATTTCTTAAAGAGGGTGAGATCGTTAGAAATAATGCTTCAATTTGTAAAGAGGAGCGAGAGTCAGCTGGCAGAGCTTTTTGTACTGAAATAATAACAATGGAGAAAATTAAACAAATGAAAACTTTTTTAAAAAGACACCCAAAAGCTAATCAGAAAAGGACTATATCCATCAGGGTCTAATTAGGAAATAAAAACTAGTCAGTATTTGAACAGAGAAAGTTCAATACCAAGGATTATTAACTGTAACAGTGGATTGGAGTCAGGAGGGATTAGCTAGTAAAAAGTGAATAGAAGTTTCTAGAATACAAGAATAGCAGCCACCGCCTGCCCCAGCTGAGACAGAGTGCCAAGGAAGACCCTCCCCTCCACTCCCAGAGCTGTGATCCAGAGAGGGCACTGCCTGGCTCATGAGGACTTGCCTCTGCCTCTGCTGGAGAGGGCACCGCCCTGGCTCATGAGGACTTGGCCCTGCCTCTGCTGGAGAGGCACCACCCTGGCTCATGAGGATGGCTGTGCCCTCTCCAGCAGAGGCATTCCTCATGAGCCAGGGCTGTGCCCTCTCCAGGTGCCTGGATCTCCGCTCCAGGTTGGCGGGGGGTCGGGGGTTGGGGTTCCTTGGCACTCTGTCTCAGCTGGAGTGGGTGGTGGCTGCTATTCTCACATTCTGGTGTCCACCCTGTATAGTAAGAGCCATGCGTTCTGCTGAGAGAGTTCATCACTAGCCAGATCCAGGGAGGCATGGCTCCTTTCTGATAAGGAGGCCTGGGCGAGGAGAGAAGGTGACCCTAGGGTATCAGAGAGCCCATCCAGTAGGTATCAGGAGGCAGAACTGGACTTGGAATCCAGTCTCTAGCTCTGATCCTACGCTAACCAGTTGTGCTTCTCTGGGCGGGTTAACTTCAACTCCAGACCTGTTTCTACATCAGCAACTTGAGGCGACGGGACCAAATCCAAGGCCAGTACATCCCTGCATGCCACCTGATTACTTTGAGGTCGTTGAAAGGAGGGCATTGAACTGCTTTTGTTGGTGTGTTTGAGGTTGATTGGTTTCCTCCTGTAAGCACTCTTTAAAAGCAACTTTCTGATAACAACTCTCCATCCCCTGACAATAACCCTTTTCTCCCCCTCCCCCACTTCATCCCCACCACCCGTTAGACCTAACCAGGCAGCAATCCCTCCCCCGCTGTCCCTCCCTTTAACGTGCCACATGAGTATCAAGTAGGCACTAGGAAGAGCCACAAGAATCAAATGTTTTTATAGAAGCAATACTTTCCTCAAACTTGTAAAGAAGTGACTTGCCTGAGAATAACCTACCTACTACTGAGTGACGTCACTAAACAGGTACACAGGCACCACGATGAATGATGCGGTGACTTTAGTTCAGCCACCTCCGCATCCTTACTCGGTGCTCCTAGCAGGGAAGGGACAGGTGTGCTCCTGCACTCACTAATGTCCCCTCACCTTCTCCCCGGCTCCTACACCTTAGAACAGCATGCGCTCTCCTCCCACCCGGGTTTGGCTCACCTGCCCTCCTTCCCTGGTGGGACCCGCTTCCTTCAATTCTCTTGATGCAGAATTCACTAGTTTCAGTAGGATCCATCACCGTGGGTGTACTTTCTTAAAAGGAGGGTGTGTGTGTGTTTGTTCGTGTGCGCAGGCATCTTGAGACAATATTCCCCATAGACCTTGCCTATTGCTGGACTGTTATCTGAGTCCTAGTACTTGACAAATTGTCAGAAAACTGGAAATTGTGAAACAGTTTAAGGAAAATGCTTACAATGATGAAGGGGCCGAGAAGGAAATGTGAAAGTTCCCGGTTCCCCACGTTTTCGGGACCTGCTCTCCTAAAACTTGCCTTTTGAGTATCGAGTGTCTACTCTGGGCCAAGTACCGTGTCGGGGCTACCGAGCTACAGATATGAATAAAGCACTGTCCCCAGCCTTGCAGTGCTTGCCGTCCGGGGGAAGGGGTCAGACATAGCCCCAAAGATGTCAATACACACCAAACAACCTATAAGAGGTGCAAACAAGGGACTGAGGTGCAGAAGCCCAGGAAAGAAACCACAGTTAGAAAGGAAGGTCAGGAAAGGGCTTCATGAGCAAATGGCATTTGAGATCTATGTCATGTTTTCCACAGGTGGAGTTGGAGGTGGGGTAAGGTGGAGTTTCCAGAGGAAGACTCTAACACAGTCATTAGTGGGGGGGTGGGGGTGGGGGGGAGCTGGCTTCTGAGAGTAAGTGAGCCCTTCAGGGTGGAGGGTAAGGAATTAGCAGAAAACGGGCCTGGAAAGGTGGACTGGCCCCGAAGTGCCGAGCAGAGGAGTGGCCATTGGATTCAGCAGGCCCTGGAGGGTTCTGCACTGGATCCTCTGCTGAGGGCCTGTGTGCATCGCCCCTGGCTGAAGCGGGGCAGCCAGATTCCTGCTCTGATTTTGACTCGATGCACCTCAACACCGCAGTGCAGGGAAGGTCCCCTGCGTGAGGCACCCCACAGGTGGAGATAATGCTGAAGTGAAGTCAGACCGGTCTTTAAGGGCCTTGCAGTTTGGGGACAAGGACAAGAGAGGGAGGGGGGACATTAGACAAGGATGGCTAGAAGCACAATAATCGCATGAGTTGTGCAGGACGCATCGTGCAAGTCTTGGCAAAGTGCTGAGACCTTTCTAACGGGGGCTCTGCCTGACCTTCCATTCGGTTTGTCAGCGCTAGACTGTAAGCGTCTCAGCATGCGGGCCAGGCCTTCCTTGTCTTTGCACGGCCTGGGTCTAGCTCAGTGTGTGGCACTTGGTCGACATTCACTGAATTAAGGATGGAAGGGAGGGAGGGAGGGAGGAACAACTCTCCCGTCATGTATCATCTGCTGAGTGTCTGTCTTCAAGTTCACCTAGCACCGCCTACCTTTGGTCCATATTGTCCCTCTCTCCTTCCACCCAGATTTTGCTCACCTGTCCTCCCTCCCTGGTGGTACCAGCCCACACTAACTTCCCAGACCCGAATTCTTCCAGTCATCACAGAGTCTGTGCTGCGTAACTTACACCCCCGCATTCCTTGCAGCTGCTTCCTGAGTGCTATCATGCTAACTCCTTGAAGGCAGAGTCCCCTTCTCAAGGGATCGCAACCCCCACAATACCTAGACTACATTGACTGCCGATTGGTTGGGAAATGGGCCCGTCACAGGAGGAGAGGGCAGAAACCGACATCCTGGAGTGCGGGGCACTGTGCTGGTGCTGTGTGTGCTCACAGAGCCTGGAGAGCGTGGCCTAGCGGAGGGGACACTCGGGGGCAGGGCAGTTCTGCTGTCTGAAAGCCTTTGACTCGGAGGCCCCAAACCCATGGCTCTCCTCTGAGGACAGAAGAGGGGAAGGTGTCTGTCCTGCAGCGTGGGGGGTGGATAGAGGATTTGACGGATGTGAAATTAAACACTGGGGTGGAAACCGTAAACCATCCTCTCGGAATATCCTTAAAAGGAGGGATCGCTAGCAAACTCAGGCTGTAGCACGCACCGGCCTTCGCCCCAGCCTCGCTGACTTTGTCCGGTACAGATAAGAAAGGAGAGACCGTTGGGGTACCGCGTCTTAGAGGAACTGCCGATGTGCCCTTTTGCTTTATGATCTGAACATCAAGTGAACAAGGTTCAGGGAGATTAGCTGACTGCAGGCCGACCCATGTTCCCGTGCAGAGAAATAAGGAAGACTCATTACCATCCAGCTCCTTTTGCCAAGAATTATGTACTCCATGGGCAGAGAATGACACCCAAACCTTTTCAGACCTTTCAGTAAAAGGCTGGGACAACTCCCCCTGCCTTGGACTGTGTGCGCCTCACAGTAATTCAGGTTTCGGCAGAAGGGCTGCCTCCCTAACTGGACTGCCTGGGGCTGGTGTCAGGGATCTCTAGGATCTTCTGAGAGAAGTGCTCCCATTTCTGCAATTAGTCCTGAAACAACCTTGTGAAGTAGGGACTAGGATTAACTCCCGTTTTCCCGATGAGGAAACCGATCCTCCAGCCTGTAAGGAGGACTTTTCCCACCACTCTCCGTGGCTTAAATGAACTATGTCGGCTGAAAGGGTCTGAAGGCTCTGTTTTCCCATCACACACCTTACGCCAGTGGGTCGCCTAAGACCATCGGAAAACACATATATAATTAGATATTGTTTTTGTGATTAAGCACTATGCTTTAATTATGTTCAATTTGAAATCGGGGGTCACCACATGAGGAACTGTATTAAAAGGTCGCGGCATTAGGAAGGTTGAGAACCACTGTCTTAGGCCATGATGTGTTGCTACATGCAAGATAATATTTCAGTGGCAGGAACACTCAGCCCAAGCTTAGTGTAGGGCGGATAAATGCGGGTGCAGGGCACAGTGATGCTCTGTGTGCAGTCAGTGGACGAGAAACAGCTGGAGGGCAGGGAGAACCTTTCAGGCTGTTTAGGGAGAGCCTACCTACCGGGTGTGTCTAGCATTGGGGACCCAGGACTGCCCAGCCCTCTCGGGGCTTACAGTCCGTTGCAGGAGACAGACGTTAAACAACTAATACTGCAGTAAGCGAATCACATGCAACTAACCGTAGCAGGGAGCTTTGCTCTGGGGAAAGGCCGGCCTATTCGGCAAGGGGATGCATTTAGGTGGACAGAAGTCCAGGCAAACGAAAAGGGCAGGAGGAGGAGGGAAATTGCTTCCCACAAACGGAACTTGACCTGAGGGCCTCCCACCCGCAGTCCCATTGCTGCTTCGGGAAAGCAGGACAGAGAAAGCCGGAGAAGCGAGAGGCCACTTTCTGTAGGCAGGCGGGTGGCAGGGCGGCGGAGAGCAGGCTGGTTAGCGGCCGGCCCAGGACTGAAAGGGTTAAGGGGGGCGGTCCCGAGCGGAGCCTGGAGCCCCGCCCACCGGAGGGCAGGGGCGGGGCCTCGAGGAGTGAGCCCTCGGATTGGTCGAGAGGCAGGCTTTACGCTAGGACGGTACCAACGGTCGGGGAGCCCGAGAGGCAGGGGGTGGGGGTGGGACCGCCGGCTCAGCGCAGGGAGAGGCCCGGGGAATGGCCGGGCCGGGGGCGGGTGGGAGCCGCAGTGGCGGCAGCGGTGCTGGCGGCTGGGGCCGGTGAGCGCTGCGTGGGGCGGCCCCTCCTCGGAGGTGGCGGGGGCGGCGGGGGCTGCAGCGCGCGGTGCGGCCACGGAGCGAGCCTAGGGCCCCGCAGGTGAGCGGCTGAGGGCAGCGTGAGGGGGGCGGAGGTTGCGTGACCCGTGGCCCCGGCGCTGTCCCTGGCCGTGCTGGCGGGAAAGTGCGGGCGGCGCACGGTGTGTGGCATGCGGGGCCGGGGGCCGCCTGGGGGCGGGGCGCCTCCCCAAGGAGCCCGGCGCCCGTGTCCTGAGTGGTCTCCAGGGGCCGCCCCAGGTCCCCGCGGGAGAGCGGCCCGGGCCCCGGCCGCGTCGCCCCGGGTCCTGCGGGCGGTGGCGGTTGACGGGACGTGGCCTCGGCCCGAGTGTCCTCGGCTCGCCTGCGGCGCCGGCCTTACCTGGGGACGCCTCGGGGGGTCGTCCTAGTGGCCAACCCCCGTGCCGGACACGGTCACCTGAGGCGATTGGCACCGGTGCCACCCTCTGTCCCCTCGGGTGCCAGTTGCGGGGGGCGGGGGCGGGGGGGGGGAGGGCGGAGAGGATCGTGCACCCCTGGGCCCACCTCGTGCCCGGGAAACGCGAGTGACCCGCAGGCCCCAGGCGGGAGGCGGGGTCGCTGTGCCCGGGGTCGAGCTCTCCTCGGGGTCGGGAGCCATGGACAGGGGGTGAGACGGTCTCCGAGTCCCGAGCGGGTCGCGCTTGCGATTGCACTTCCGGGTGTGACGGCCCCGCCCTCGAGAAAGAGCCTGAAACGTTGCGGTGGAGATGAATGTGAGCGCTTGTCAGGCTGCGTCCTTGGTTGTGGGGTTTGATGGGAATTGAGTTCTATCCGGGCGTCTGTTCCCTGCGAGGCTCCCGGGGGGAAGGGAAGGGGTGGAAGGAAGTTGGAGGGAAAGCGGAGAGGACGGGGCACGGCTGGGGCTGGTCATTCCGGAGATCTTGGTCCCCCAGTGGCCGCATCACCCTGGGGGAGTTGATCGTTGGGGGGGAATGAGAGATGCCGATGCGCTGAGGGGTCCAGGGCCAGGTGTCAGGGTCGTGCCCACCCAGCCGGTCTCTCCCCGGAGGTGTGGTTTCTCACCTGGAAAGGGAAGTGGGAATGGTGGGACCCTTTCGCGGCTGGCGCAGAGGACTCGATGCACGTGTGATGTAGTCATGAAGACTGCTGTTGGCCGGTTATTCCTGTTCTCCTTGAGCTGTAAATTCACGCCTACATTTCCCTCCGTTGGGTTCGCTGCCTCCGCGTGCGTGTGCATCGCACACATTCCCGGAGCTTAGGCGGGACCTTGGAGCCAAGCCCGAGAGCGCGCCACGTACCGGGTATTGTCATCCTCAAGACATGTCTTTCCGAAACCCGGGAACAGGTGTAAAGGAGCGAAGTTACTTGCCTAGACGCAGAGCCAATCCAAGGTAGATTTAAAGTTAACGTTTTGTTTTAAATAACTTTTCTAGAGTTTGTGAGGGTGTTGGACTTTGGCCCCTGGGACCATGCAGTGCACTCGGTGCACAGGCGGGCCTTCTGCATTTGAAAGTGCTTATCAAAGAGGAAAAAAGCAGAAGCAGGGAATTCAGACTCTCAGACTCACGGTAAAGTGCAGTGGTAGGAATGGGTGGCGGTAAAAGGTGATGGGGAAGTCTTGGAGCTCGAAGCATTCCTTCAGCCTGGCTGGTGAAAATGTGACATTCGTTTGTTCTGTTTGTTTCTCCGGAACCCGTAGGGTGATAGCTATGAATTAGAATGAGAACTTGAAAACACATGGCTTTGCTTTTCTTTCTAGGTACTTCGAATTAGGGAATAAACAAATCATTGTTTACCGTTCCTATCTAATCCTCTTTTTTAAAAATTCTCACCCAATGACATCTTCATTGATTTTTTTTTAGAGAGAGGGGAAGGAAGAGAGGGAGAAACATGAATCATTTGCCTCCCAAACATGCCCCATGGGAACTAAACCTGAAACCTAGGTATGTGCCTTGACAGGGAATCAAACCCGAGACCTTTTGGCATGCGGGACAACGCTCCAACCAGCTGAGCCACACTGGCCAGGGCTGTCATCTAATCCTTATGTCATAGAATTATTTCATATTGAATTGCTGATTCCTTGACTTTCAGTCTGTTCTCTTGATTTCCATTTGTAGACTCTCTTTCACACAGCCTTAAAACTTCTGCTCTTTGTCTTTTCTGAATTTTAAATTCCTGACTGTTTCTCTTTCCTTTACCTGCTGGGCAGTCTTCAGCTTCCCAAACTTTTGTGTGACCTGCCATTTCAGTGGTGTAAACCCTGAAGCCAGATAGTTCAGCTCTTGAATTGGTAACTTTTTACAGTAGTAACCACAGTGGTTGTCTCTTGGTGAATGCTGCAGTCACAAACAATCAGAAGGCTGCTCTGTTTTCTGTGGCCATAGTTGGAGACAGTCTTCTGAAGCTGATGTCACGTCACTCAGGGACTAAGTGCTGGTGGTTTGTAGGTGGGGTGGAAAGCACAGTTGTAATGAGGCGCTACAGTTTGTTGTAATAGTGATGGTAATTGAGGTACTCTTCTCCCTGTGCCTAACTGTACACAGCATATAGTAGATGTACAGGAAATATTTGGTAGTTGAATGAGTGAATGGAAAACAGTATGAAGAAAGGGAAAAATTCTAATGCATATACTAAATTGTTTCATTCCTCTTTCTATGTTAAAAAAAAAAAAAGCCAAAAAAATATGTTTCAGATTCCTGTTGAAAATATGTGGTTGAGGTGAGTATCTGTAAAGGGTGTTACTTGCTGGAGCCGCTCTGAGATCAGATTGTGTGATTATGTGATGTTATAGCCACCTGCAGCCTGGGAGCAGCCCATGGTGCTCCGGGAGGTGAAGCTTCACCGATTTTACTTCAGCCTTCTCCGCCTAGGCCCGTGGTCGGCAAACTGCAGCTCGCGAGCCACATGCGGCTATTTGGCCCCTTGAGTGTGTGGCCCTTCCTAAGCCTTAGGAGTGCCCTAATTAAGTTAATAACAATGTACCTACCTTTATAGTTTAAGTTTAAAAAATTTGACTCTCAAAAGAAATTTCAATCGTTGTACTGTTGATATTTGGCTCTGTTGACTAATGAGTTTGCCAACCACTGGCCTAGGCTAACTGAGAAGTTAGATTGGTAGTCAGTATTTTTGCAATAATAGACCTATAGCTCTTGGTGATTGCCAGTAACATTGACTGCGACTGTCCATCTTCTTGTCCCTTATATTGGGGGTGGGAGAGGAGACTTAACCCTCTCTGAGGTGCTTCTCCAGCTGCTCTTCATGCTACACCTCTCTCTCGTCCTTCCTTGAACTGCCTGTGTTACTGCCAAGGACAAGGAATTCATCAGCACAGACCTGGGGTATGGAACAGGAGACCTTACTTTGCAACTAAATCTAGCTTCTGCTTACAGAGGCAGAGCTGCCTCAAACAGATTGTCAAACTGCAGCAGGAAGGCCGGGGAGGGTTGGGGGGCAGGAGGTAGGGGGGTAAGAGATCAACTAAAGGACTTGTATGCATGCATATAAGCATAACCAGTGGACATAAGACATTGGGGGATAGGGGAGGCTAGGGGACTGTCTAGGGCGGGGGGATAAAATGGACACATATGTAATACCCTTTGTAATACTTTAAGCAATAAAAATAAATAAATAAATCTAGCTTCTGCTTAACTTATAATGTCAATATGATTGCTAGAGGAGTGTAGGAGAGAATATAATGCAAAGCTCTAACAACGATTTTATCTTTCTTACCCAAAAGTAAAAGAGGAGAGGCCTGGCTCTTGACCTGATGTCTTGTGGGGGAGGGGGTGTCAGTTATCCCAGTATAAGATAAGAAAAGGAGGCTGATATAGAAAAGAGATAGTAAGCTTCGGTGTATGTTTGTACTTTGGTGGGGTCTGTACTTTCTGAAAAGGTAACAACCATATGGAGGGGAGGGCATTAATTTGAGTACATTATAAAAGGAGGCCAAGGAATGTGAAATGATGAACGTGTATAGAACCAAGTACAGGTGAGGCAGTGAAGTCCATCATTCCATTCTCTCAAATGCTGACTTTATGCTTTATGTATATAGCAGTACCTCATTTGTCTACTACTGTTAGGGAATAAGATATTATGTGCAAAAAAAACTTTAACTATACTTTTTGTGGAAAAAAATTTACAGTGTATTATGTGCTTTGTTTGCTTTTTAAACAGTATAGTTTAACCTTTGTTTTGTTGACTCAAGGTCATTCCTGGCACCCATTACTCAGAGTAATGGAGTGGGGCTTTGAGGTGATTGAAATATGCAGGTTGTTAACCCTGTCTGCTTTTTGAATTCTTGAATCTGCCTTTTATAGTCGATCTGCCTCTTCTTTCAGAGGTGGGAAAGCTGTGCTTTTGCTGTTGTTAGTGTCCCTGCTGCCCTCTTTTTAATTTGCAGTTTCTGATCTGTGGAGTAGCAACCCAGATAACTGCCTCCTGCAATTGAATGTAAAACAGCTAAATAGGCTTCATGAGGGTCTGCAGCCTCTTCCCTGTTGATGGGTGAACTTTGGCTGCCCAAAAACCTTTTACTTATTTCTTGTTTCCTATCCTTGGTTTAGATCAGGAGTGGGGGACTGGGTCTGGCCCTGCCAAGGCATTAGGGGTGAGTTAATTAAATGTTTGACCAGTTGCAAAATAGCAGGATAATTTTTAAATTGATCATTTTGTATGGCCCATGAATGATATCATAAATATCCAAATGGCCCTAGGCAGAAAAAAGGTTCCCCACCCCTGGTTTAGGTAGTGAACTTGCACTATGTATAGGTGCATTTATGTTCCTGTTGTCCTTTCTGTAGAAAAAAAAAAAATGTGCAAGTACTAGTGTTGGTTCTTGTTTCAGAAAGCATAGCCAATACCACTTGAAAGTCTGGGTCCAGCCCTGTCTTGTATCACTCATGGACAGTGTCTTGGACCATCTCCAGTGTTCCTGGAGCATTTCCAGCTCATCTTTACTCCCAGTCCCACCAGTCCCAGTATCCAGGTTGACAGTAGTATTGCCTTAAAAGCTGGTAGCAGGGTATGCAGAAGGCAGCAATTTAGAATTGAGTGTATAAAATTGGTATACATAACTGCTATTTCTGCATTTTTTTTTACTGTACTGTATGTCTGGATTCATTTTGGGACTTGGTTTCCCTATGTCTGTAAAAAGAGGCCATCTATAAACCAAAGAGATGAAGAAATTCTTCAGCAGAGACCATAAAGGTCTCTCCTCCTTGCTCTTTACTCCTTTTATTCAACAAGCTTTTACTGAGTACCTCTCATGTGCCCTGCACTGGGCTAGCTTACTTGGAAGTACAAAGAGAGTAAAACATATCTCCTGTCCTTAAGGAACTCAACAATAGTAGAGCTAGGCAAACCAAAAAGGTGCGAGTGTGTGTGTGTGTGTGTGTATTTATATGTGTGTATTCGAGAGATTATGGCTAAAGCCACTAAGCCATAATTCAGAGACCTGCTTGAGGTTGTTTCTAAAGTGATTTGTGGCCTGTCAGCTTGACACCCTTCTAGAACATAAGGTTAAAAAATATGAAGTGTTATTGTTGCATAAAGTTTATATACCTTTCCAAGAACTGTAATGAACTGAACAGTTAAGATGGAAAACATGAAAATCTAAGGGAAAATGTTCTATTAACTGAA